TAACTGTGAGGCTTAGGGCTTTTACAGCTTTGCCCACAGTGACCTGCACACATCTAAAGTGTGCAGTGGACAGGTTTTGACACAAGGACGCACACATCTCCACACTCATGATAATGTATCAAATATCTGTTTTTAAATTTTAATTAATTAATTAAAATCTGAAGTTCCATTTGTCAGCTGCACCAGCTGCATTTCTTAGGTTCAGTAGCCCCCGGTGGCCAGCAGTGACCAGAGGGAACAGCACAGTTCTTGACCATTCTCCTGTTTAATTTTCTCCGAAGCATTTATCCCCACGTGAGCAGCCCCTGAAGTCTCCTTCCTCCCTGGTGCTGGCCATCCTCCCCACTGCCGTACATGTCCCCCAAGGCTGGGGCGATTGGTCGTGTTCACGGTGTGTCCCCAGAGCCTGGCTCACAGGGGTACTGGGTGAGGCTGCTTCTGTGACGCCCAAACTGTCACCTGAAAGATGAATCCAGTGAACGAGTGAAAGGAGGCAGCAGGTCAGCTAAGCAGAGGCCTGTGGGGTGTCGGCCAGCAGGGGAGGAGACGTGGATTCAGGCCCAAGCGGCCTCAGCCAGAGGATGGGGTCCCAGAGGGCCGTTTAAGGACCAAGGTGAGCTCACCTTGTTCTGCTTTGGGCCGGTGGAGAAACCTCACAGAGCCCCTGGGGAGCTGGTTGCCAGCTTCAGGAGTTACTCTGTGGGTGACGGGAGCCTGTTGTTGAGCTGTGGCATGTGCCTCCTGGACTCTCTGAGACGCGATGGTTTAATACACGTGAACTGCCTGGAGCAGGGCCCAGCACTCGCACACGCTCACGGTCATTACTGTGGGGACTCCTATCCAGCAGGGCCGGGGAAGTGGGACCCCTCCTGGACTTTTGAGGTCCCTTTCTGTGGCTCCCTCCGCAGTTGTGCTGTGCGTCTTTTGCCACCCTCTTCCCTGACTGCTCAGCATGACGTACCCTGCTGAGGACCGCTCTCTACCCAGCTTGGACTAACCTTGCCTGCTGTCCACACTCTCCCTCCGCAGGGCACATTTGCCTCCCAAGTGACGCTGGAGGGGGACAAGTTGAAAGTGGAGAGGGAGATTGACGGGGGCCTGGAGACCGTACGCTTGAAGCTGCCAGCTGTGGTGACTGCTGACCTAAGGCTCAACGAGCCCCGCTACGCCACATTGCCCAACATCATGGTGAGCACTCAACTCGCGGGTCACTGAGGGCCTAGGAATGGGCCAGCACACTGCAGGCCCAGTGCCTCTGTCATGGATGGATTGAGGAGGGAAGGGCCCCAGGGATATCCCACCCAGAGGAAGGGATCACCTGGTCATCGTGGCAGATAGTGGGTTTGCTGGTCATCTCTGCTAGTGATGAGGGGACTACTGGGCTGTTCTGGCTAATTCTCCCCAATAGAAAGATTCAGTGGGCAACAGAAAAGGTCCTCCTTGTCATTCCAGTCAGTGGAAAATGTTCACTGGGCAATCTTGGCCAAGCAAAGAGGATCCATGCGGTCATCTCGGTTCATTAGGGAAGGTTCCCTGGGTAATCCTTGCCATCAGGAAGTTATCGCATAGGCCATCTTGGCTACCAAGGAAGGGCTCTTCAACAGGAAGAATTCACTAATCATCTCCAGGACGAGTTCCCTGTGTCATCTCAGCCACCAGAGAACATTCAGGCATCATCCCAGCCAACAGGAAGGGTTCTAGTGGGTCATCCCAGCCCAAAGGATTGAACCATTATTGCCAAAAGGATGGGTCTGTGGGTGCCTTGCACTGGTGCGGGGCTCCCCAGGGTGGCTCCCAGGAACTGTCACCCAGGTGTAGCCCAGGAGAGGGTGTGTGTGTGCCGGCCAGCAGGAAGGGCAGAGGTTCAGCCAATAGGAATGGCTCTGCAGATGTGGCCGCCCTGGGGAGGAGGCTGTGGGAGGCTGGGCAGGGGCTGCGGCAGCCCCTGAGCTGAAACTCCCCATGTGCAGAAAGCCAAGAAGAAGAAGATCGAAGTGATCAAGGCTGGGGACTTGGGCGTGGACCTGACTTCCAAGCTCTCTGTGGTCAGCGTGGAGGACCCACCTCAGCGTACCGCCGGTGTCAAGGTGGAGACCACCGAGGACTTGGTGGCCAAGCTGAGGGAGGTGGGGCGGATTTGATCCCTCCCTGAAACTCAGCAATAAAACTATGACCCTCTTAATGCCTGTCTCTGTTACCTCATTCTCTGGAGGTCTGCTCTTTGATTCATTCAACAAATATTTACTTAAATCTGCTGTGTCCCTGGCCCTGTGCAGAGCGACTCTGGAAGCCAGGTGAGTAACATAGTCCTGCCCTTGAGATGCCTCTGTACTGAAGGGGACAGACGCTGGCAAAGGCAGCTGTAATACAGGGTGATGGGTGCTAGGTGTGGAGACACACAGGGCTTGGAACCTAGCTGGGGCACTTGGCCTGGCCTGTGGGGTCAGAGAAGCTCCCCAGGGAGCCTCATTCAAGCTGAGTGTTGAAGGACTATCAGTGAGGACAGTGAGAAGGACTCTAAGCTCAGAGTGTTTGCTGGGCCTCCTGGTACCAGATCCCTGTTGAGACTTGGGACACAAGAAGGATTGAGATTGGAGGCTCTGGTTCTGGTCAGTGAGACAGGACCGAAAAACTTCATTTGGGGACGAGGAGCCCAGGGCCTACAGTTGGATTTATTTACCTGCTGAGAAGCGTTGGGTGAGTTGCTTCCTGTCTGAGCCTCACTTTCCTTGTCTGGCAGGCCAAAATACAAGGGAACAGCAATGGAGGACTTGGGTTCTGGATCCTGAGACCAGGGTTCAAACCCCGGCTCTGACCAGGGTCTGGCTCCAGGAGGACCTGAGGCAGGCACCACTCCCTGGGCCTGGGTTTCTTCTTCCATTGGATGGAATTAATAATATCTTGTCTTTTTCTTTTCTTTTTTTTGCCACATAGCAAACCACCCCAACACTTGGTGGCTTAAGACAACAGACGGATCATCTTGCTTAGAGATCTAAAACAGATCTGAAACTCAGTCAGGCTCAGCAGCTCTTGTCTCCATGTAGCATCAGCCAGGGTGGTGTGAATGGGGCCAGAGCATCATTCCAAGATGTCTCACTCCAGGGCCAGCAGGCTGGCTGGGACTCCTGACCCAAGCTGACTGCTGCCTGGGGGCTTCAGCCAAGGCTGTGACCAGAGGCCCTGACCCCTCTTCTTGGGGCTGCTTGAGAGGCCTTATAGCATGGCTGCTGGGTTCCAAGAGGCAGTATTCTACGGAACAGGAAGTGGAGCTGGCCAGCCTCTAGAAGCAGGAAGTGGCCCCAGTTTACTTTCTTTCTTTTCCCTTGGTACTGGGTATTAAACCCAGGGGCTCCACCATTGAGATACATCCCTAGCCCTTTTTATTTTTTGAGACAGTTTCACTAAGTTGCCAAAGCTGGCCTTGAACCTAAAATCCTCTTGCCTCAGGCTCCTGAATCACTAGGATTACATGTGTGGGCCACCACACCAGACTCTCCAAATCCTCTGATGTAGCAATGACAGAGCCTGCTGAGACCCAAGGGGAAGGAACATAGACCTCACTCTTAGTGGCAGGAGGGTCAAATTTGCACCATCCTTAAGCTACAAAGCCTACCTCAGGGGTTTTAAAAAGGTAACTTATGTAGCACTTCCAGAACCACACCTGACACACAGAAAATGCTCAACATGTATTATTGCCATGATGATTATCAGCATGGCAAAGATTATGCCAGGTCTGGGAGGACTGGGAGCTGAACTGAGGCACTAAGCCCAGTATGGGGTAGCAGGAAGGAGCCTTCTGACCATCCTGGGCCCAAGTCCAACTTCCTTTTCTGGCTGTGAAACCTCCTGCAGTTCCCTTGTCCTCTCTGAGCCATAGTTTCCTTCTCTGTAAAGTGAGGATAAAGACTCCCACCCAGCTCAGAGGGCATTTAGAAGGATTCAGCGCAATAGATTCCTGGCACAATGTAAATGGTAATTATCATTATGGTTCTTAATAAGGTAAGACCTGAAGGACAAGTTGCAGTTTAGCCAGATTGAAGGGTGGGGATAGTGAGTGATAGCATGCCAGGTAGAGGAAGAAGCACAGGCAAAGACTGGGGAGTGAGGATGGCATAGGAATGGCGGCAGGTTCAGAGTGGGTGCTGGATGGGTGGGAATGACTGGGTCTGCTGAGGAGCTTGGGCTTCTCCAGAGGGCACTGGGGAGCCAGGCAGGGTTGTAAGCAGGGGAGAGCAGCAGGAATTCTGGGTGTGGCAAGACCTTCAGGTGGACTGGAGGGGACTGGAGCCTGGGGGGTGGGGAAGGGGACAGTTGGAAAGGATAGGCCTTCCTGTGCTGGGGCCTGGGCCCTGAGATTCAGATGGAACCATCCTGGAAGTGGAAAACCAGGGGGAGGATGCTGAGTGCATAGGAAGCAGGGCTTGTGAGAGCCTGGAAGACACAGAAATCCGGCTCTATGGGTCTCAGGAGAGGTAGGTAGAACTAGGGTCTTGAGAGCAACAGGGAACCCTGGGATGATCTGGAGCAGCGGGGAGCAGGGTCAGATGTGGATATCAGAGGCTACAGGCAGGACAGAGGGAGCAGAGGGAGAAGGCTGGGGAGGAGGAAGTCTGAGCTGAGGGGAGGCCATCAGAGGTGAGGCTCTCCAGCAGGCCGCGTTGCCTTCCTCTGGGAAGCCTTCCTGTATTTGCCAGACATGTCTGCTACCTCCTTTTCAGCTGGGACTCTGTTCTCCCCCTCTCCCCCTGTGGGTAGAACATGCAGGGACAGGGCTGGGTTTCCCCACAGACAGGGCCAGCCTATGAGGACAACAAGTAGGGTGGGGTGGGCGGCTTAGCCACCAGTTCAGCCAGGGGGACCCTGCACCTCCTGCTGGGTCTGTCTCCCTTCCCCGCCCAGGAAGCTAAGCTACCAGTCCTGTTGGACTTGTCCAACCCAGGAGGGACAGATGCAGGCCCTGGGTCTCTCTCCAGTGTCCTCTCAGGGGTGCGGCCAGCACCATGGACATCCTGCAGGCTCTGCTGCTCTTCCCACTCCTGGGTAAGTTCCTTTCTTGACCCCTTCCCCACCAGCCCCCTTCCTAGCAGCCTCCCCCAAAGCCCACCCCTCCTACCTCTCCTCTGCAGCCCCTCCGTTAAGGATCCTTGCCCTGGGAGCCACTTCTGGACTTCAGCAAACCAACTTTACCTCCGCCTCCTCCTTGGACTCAGCCAGCTCCTCCCTCAGCCTGGGCTCCAAAGTTCCCTCCATCAAACCACCCAGCCAGAACTTTCCAAAACTCTCTCTGGATTCACAAGCCTCTGCTGAAGTTCCTGATTCCAACTGGCTTCCCAAGGCCCGAAATTCAAATGATGTGTCTGAGTCCCTCTGGTCAAATATTTCTGCCGAGGGTCAACATTTGAGCCCCCATCCCACCTTCTCTAAGATTCCTGGTTCAGAAGTGTTTCCTGAGAGGTTGGATTCCCCAGTTCCTGCCAAAAGTCCTGTGCCTTCCTTCTCTGTTAAGACCACAACTTCAAACATTTCTGCTCAATTTCCTGACTCCAAAGTGACTGTTGAGGCCCCAGATTCAAAACTCCCCCCTGAGAATCGGGACCTTGAATTCTCTCCCCAGAGACCCCAATCCAAAGTTCCTCTGGAGACCCACTCAGCTGCAAGCTTCCCCCAGCAGGTTGGGGGTCCTCTTGCTGTGCTGGTGGGGACTACCATCCGACTCTCCCTGGCTCCAGCCCCCAGCCCTGTTCCTCCTGCCCCTCTGGTAGTTTGGCGAAGAAGCTCCAAGGTACTAGCAGCTGGGGGCTTGGGGCCAGGGGCTCCTCTGATCAGCCTGGACCCTGCACACAGAGACCGCCTGAGATTCGACCAGGCCCGAGGGGGGCTGGAACTTGCCTCTGCCCAGCTGGATGATGCCGGGGTCTACACGGCTGAGGTCATCCGGGGTGGGGTCTCTCGGCAGATTCAGGAGTTCACAGTCAATGTGTATGGTAAGTGGGCCCTGGAGTCACAAGTGCAGGCTGCTGAGACATCTGGGCAAGCCATTTCTGTTGTAAGGATGCTTCCTCCCCAAAGGGACAAGGGTCCGAGGCAGGGGTGCTGAGGAAGGTTGGACCTGGATCAAGACTGGGGCAGGGAGCACCTCAACTCCTGTGTCTGAGGGAGGAGGGCTGGGGCCTGTACTCGGTCTGACGGAGCAAGGACTGGGGACTGAACCCCTGGGTCTGAGTGAGGAGCCTCTGGGACTGGACTCCTGGGTTGGAGGGAGGAGACATCATGGGTCAAGGAGAGGAAAGGGAAGGGACAGATAACCAGACTCCTGGGACTAAAAGGAGGCAGTGGCTGGGGGCGAAGTCCTGGGAATAAGAGAGTGAGTACTGGGGCCTGGCTCCTTGAACGGATCCTAAGGGCATTGCCCCTCTCCAGAGCCCATTCCCCAGCTGTCTGTGCAGCCAGAGACCCCAGAGACGGAGGAGGGGGCGGCGGAGCTCCGGCTGCGCTGTGTGGGCTGGAAACCAGGCTGTGGGCAGCTGAGCTGGACCAGAGACGGCCGTGCTCTGAATGCAGCGGATTCTGAGGGAGCAGAGTCGTCCCGGATCCGCGCAGAGGGCGACCAGCTGCTCATCGCTCGCCCTGTGCGCAGCGACCATGGGCGGTACACCTGCCGCGTCCGCAGCCCCTTTGGCCACACCGAGGCTGCGGCCAACGTCAGCGTCTTCTGTGAGTGGGGGCTGCCTTGAGCCGGCTAGGAGTCCCTCTGGAATCCCAGGAGAGAAAGGACTAGTGGCCTGGTCTCGGGATTTCTGGAGACGCCCCGGTTGAGCCCAATCCCGACTCCCTCTTCCCCCAGACGGTCCGGATCCGCCTGTCATCACAGCGTCTTCCAATCGAGACGCCGCCCCGGACCTGTATGTCACTGCGGGCAGCAACGTGACCTTGCGCTGCACCGCCGCCTCGCGGCCGCCGGCTGACATTACGTGGAGCCTGGCGGACCCGGCCGAGGCCGCAGTGCCCGCGGGGCCGCGCCTCCTGCTGCCAGCCGTCGGGCCAGGCCACGCGGGCGCCTACGCCTGCCTCGCAGCGAACCCGCGCACTGGCCGCCGGCGCCGCTCGCTGCTCAACCTGACGGTGGCAGGTGAAAGCGGCTGGGGCGCCACAGCTGGGGCGGGGCCAGCTGGGGCGGGGCGGGGCCAGCTAGGAGGAGCTGGGACAGCTGTGGTGGTGTGGGGTGGGCCCGCAGCGGGGCGGGGGGCGGTGATTGCTGGTAGAAGGGGCAGGAACGCCTAGGAGAAAGGGCGGAACCAGAAGGAGGAGACGGCGGACGGCGCAGAGTGGGATTAGAAAGGGAGGGAAGGGACCCAGTTGCTTGGGCCAGCAAGTGATATCAGCCAAGGGAGAGTTACCTGGCCAAGGGGGTGGAGTCACAAGACAAGGAGGCTAGGGCCACCCTGGAGGGCGGAGCTACCTAGGAAAAGGGGCGGTGTCTCGTGGAGTAACCCAGGAGGGGGCGGGGTGACCTGGGAGAGTGGAGCCAGAAAGGAGAGGGCTGGGTTACGYTTGGAAAGAATCAGTGTGTGAAGTTGCAGTTTTAGGAAAGAGGGGCTTTCAGGAGTTGCGCGCTTAGCGGGGATTACTGGGAACAGGGAGCTGAGTCAGCCAGAGAAAGGGACAGGATTTGCACCTCTGAGGCGGGGCTAGGTGAAGAAGTGGTGGGGTCCGAGCGCGGAGAGGCAGCCCTGGAGAAGGTGGGGAGACCGACTCCGTCCTTGATCTCTACTTCTCTGCAGATCTGCCCCTCGGGCCCCCAAAGTGCTCAGTAGAAGGGGGTCCTGGGGACCGCAGCCTCCACTTCCGCTGCTCGTGGCCCGGCGGGGTACCTGCAGCCTCCCTGCAGTTCCAAGGTCTCCCCCGCGGCGTGCGCGCKGGTCCGGAGCCCTCCGAGCTCCTGGCGGTGGTTCCCGCCCACCCCCAGCTCAGTGGAGTCCCCGTCGTCTGCCTTGCTCGCCACCTGGTGGCCACGCGCACCTGCACTGTCACCCCGGGTGAGAGAAGGGAACTTTCCTTTGGTCCTTTGGGACTTGTGGGGGGGGGGGGGAGAATCTCCCTCTACTCCAGGAAAGGGCAGAACTTCACTTTCTTTGAAACTAAAGAGGCAACAAGTTTTTTTTTTTTTTTTCTGTACTCCAGGGTGGGGAGGGGGCAGGGGCAGGGTTTTCCCCCTGGTCTCAGGAACAGGGCAGTCCCTATATTTAGAAAGATAGATCAATCTTTTTATTTTCATTTTTTCAAAGTAATGAATAGCTGAGCATAATGGGCTTCCCAGCCCTTGTCCATGTATAACATATGTTCAGTTAAGTGTTTGCTGAGGATATCAGTGAATGAATGAATGAGAGAGTGAATGGGCAGTTCCCCCACAGTGCTGGGTTCACCACTATTTGATTTATCTAAGGACACAGGATTTATATTCCAGTGGAGAATAGGGTCTTGCCTTTTTTTTTTTTTTTTCCTCCCAGTTCTAGGGATTGAACCCTGGGTGGTTATACCACTGAGCTACATCCCTAGCTCTTTTTATTTTTTGTTTTGAGACAAGGTCTCTCTAAGTTGCCCAGGCTGGTGTGGAACTTGTGATCCTCTTGCCTCAGCCTCCTGAGTTGCTGGGATTACAGGTGGGCCTCACCACACTAGGCAGGTCTTGACTTTTTTTTTTTTTTTAAAGAACACTTTATTTTTTTTTTTCAAGAGAGAGTGAGAGAGGAGAGAGAGAGAGAGAGAGAGAGAGAGAGAGAGAATTTTTAATATTTATTTCTTAGTTCTCG